CTATGTACCTAATCAACGCAATCTCCCTTACTTCTGGTGAAATACGCCGTGGTTACTGCGTAAACGAGATCAATTAGGCCTCGCTTTGGACCGGGTCAATGATGGGGGAGCATTGGATGTGCATATGGACTGCATTAGTAATTTGGTAAGCCGATTACCCACTCAAACCTATCTAGGATTAATTATTGTTGTGAACTAATGGGGAGGAGTCGACGGCTGAGTAGCTGTGGGTCTCGGACTTCCTTCAAGTCGAGTCCAGGGTAGGCTGGCCAAGCAGATGAGACGAGTTTGTTGTAGGGTGAATAAAAGGCAGCGTAACGCAGCCAAGCCCAGCTTTCTCATGTTCCTCTGGCGAGCTCAGTGAGTCGATGGCCAATTACCCCAAAACTACACAACACTTGGAGATGGCCAAGGTCTCCAGGAAAAGCCATGGGATGAAGTTCTCTGAGCATCCCAGACTCGCTAATTTGCGAGAGATGTGCTCGTGGTGTTGTATATGCAAATCACGTGTGTCTATCAGCTCATACAATCGGAAGCCGAGGAGCTGCTCGTGATAATATGCCGCTAGATTGTCAGTATTAGCTTAGATAGAGTTGAGCTCGTCACCATATCCCCTCAGGGATGGGGCTTTAGTTGTAACTAGTGCCCGGTAGACATAAAAATAAATAAATACAGATGAGATGCATGCTTTTTCCTCAACTGTAAAGTGGACCGGGAGACTTTAGGTATCTCGATAACGAAAGGGGTGGGCCAGGGATGTCTGTGGTCAGGCAGTTTTTTCTGGGTTGAAGGTGGTGCGGGCCGGGCAACTGGCAGCCTCCGCACTCCGGAGATGATGAGGATGAGTGGGCCCAGCCGCATGGCCAGACCACCCTAGACTTTTTCCCCTACAACTGAAGTCGTAGCCCATCCCAGCGTCCAGAGCGCTCGAGCCAGGTATGTCCTCTCATTCTCAACCTGGACCCTTCTTCGCTATCCCAGCTAATATTTGTCGTGGGCGAGAGGCATGCAGTCCCTCACCGCGGTCTTTAGAATTTGTGTTTTCTTTTTATTTCCGCTATAGCGCATGCGGAGCCCAATATTTCATCTCTCCCACCGCGACCCTTGATCGCCGTGCCCCTAACCGTTGAGGCAGAAAGGGCTACCTTGACTCTCATCGAAGCAATCTCCCAGCAATCATCACAGAGTGCTCTATTTGAAGTGCCGAAAAGACGTCACTCTTATCTTATCGTTGGCAGTTTTTTCTCGGAAAACCATAGACCGGCATAGGGTTGTGTGTGGCTCAGCTTTGTAGCAGTCATAGCCAGATAAGCTGCACAAACTGAATGAATAGAGTAAAAATTACTCGCAATTTTGGGAGAGAGGTTGTCTTTATTTTTGTTGTCTATCGGGCGAAAGCGAAGGCTATTGCTCCTTCCGGGGGGGACATGGTGACTGGAGGTTGTCTTTGCTGGTCTGTATCCTCGTGAGATATCTGTAGATCTGTCATCGCTTCTAAACAAGCCTGGTTCCTGCAGACTCTTCGGAAACACTCCAATGCAGCCATCATCATGCCTAAATCTCGGCTCAGGATGAATTTTACGAAAGACACTGCTGACCCGTGTTCAGTCTCTTGTCAGATGATGTTTAGAAACCGAGCTCACGACACAGCGTGGACTAAAACTGTTAGCATGGTAATTCTAGATGAGATGGAGGAGGCTGACTGAGAGACTGTCCGTCGTGTTGTCAAGGCACTAAAGAGTGAACGTTTTGTGAACTGTGAAGATATGCTGGTAGGTTACATCGGGTGTTGGGAGGAAATTTTGAACTCACTAAGTCTATGATCAGGTAGGACATACTGAACCACTCTGCCTAGAGGCCGAGGATACGTATGCCTTGGGTAGTTTATTGGCTTCAGTACCTTCTTTTCTGCTACCTTCCGACATCATCACTCTTCAAAAATATTGATAGAGAGCGTGTGCAGCAAAGCAGCCTTACTTTACTTCTTTGGGCCGTCTTGGGTGGTGTTGGATTCAATTTCAGTTCTGTAGGCCCTATGGTGAGAGCTAGAGATTTGTAGAGGATTCTACAGATAGGCGCCCAGCTTTCAATCACTAGGAAGTAGTGTTCTTGGAATTATGTATTATGGTGTATACCTTTAAGTACTGGGAGGAAAGACAGCGCCTAGCTCATAGGACTACGAGTATCTCCCCAGATAACATTCATATACTTACAATTACGCCTGACTTTCTTTCTTCAATCCCATCTTCCTACTACTTCTCTTGGGCCTAGTATCGGCGAATCCATCTGCGACTGGAACATTCCGAGTCAAATTCAAGACATCTTCTCATGCCGATGAGTATACAGGTAGAACTCGTCTAAATCTTCCCTTGCGCTCGGTAACATTTCACAGGTGAAGCTTTTTTCTTATCATTTAAATTGAAATGCTGGTCAAGATATTGCCCCTCCCACATCATGTAGGAAATGACTGCGTTGGATTTGGCATGACCCCAAAGTAATCCTCGCCTGGCCAACACATAAAATGGCAAACGCAGGCCGAATATATGAGTAGAATAAGGGTTCCATGCAAAAGGAAAAAGAAAAAGCGATCCCTTGACTGAGCCGGTTAGGTCTCATGACGATATGCATCAGCGGATCAGGTGACGGGGAGGGAGTCGCATGGATGGTCCGTATGCGACTTGGCCCACGACTTCACCAGTAGAGCTCCGCATCCCCGCGACTGACCGAGAAATGCATGGCGGGCCGAAACGCGACCATATCATGCACCTCAGTCCCAGCATTCCCCCGCCAGATCCCACCCCTGACCGGCACGACTCGATTGAACCGACTTGATCGCAAGTCTTGCTCACTCACAATCTATCGCGCGTTCGAAGCAGTTTGTACAGTCGTAGAGCAAGACCACTTGAATATTTTGATTGTGTGGGATTGTCGCGTCCCGTGATCCTGCGACGCTTATTATCGGCACAGCGGATCGGCCATGATGGAGGACCCGAGATGGCCCGGCACGATGTGACGGTGGAAATGCATGGGGCATCGTTGCATGGCGGCCCGACCTCTAATATTCGGCTGGGACTCCATTGTTCCGGGCGGAAGTGAGACGTTCGACCTTCCGAGATCATCAGCATCGGCAAAGTCAATCTACCAATTGCGCTTCCAGTAATATGTCCCTCGACGACATGAAAGATAGAGGATGTGGGAAAATGGTAGAGGAATCCACGGCTCGCCACTTCGATATTCACATCGACTGTCCCAGATACTAGTCTCTCCGCCTCCGGGCGTCTTGGCTTTGACGATCACTTACTCGCGTCTGGACGTGTAGAAGCTGCATATTGTACCTATTCGGTGCCACACACATCCAAACGGACAGCTGTCTGGTCGACTGCTGGGTCATGTCACCTGTTCAAGTACCACTGACCGTGATCCCCAGTCATCTCGGCTGTCAGGCAGGGCTGCATTTCCTTACTTCCCACGTGACATGTAGCCAGTCCGAGGACACAATGCCGGCATGGTGGTGCAATCAGCCCCGGCCTGCCCACAGCGGTTCCCTCTTGTGGTAGGTTAGAGCTTAGTCCGTTCCACCACTTGATTTATAAAAAGGCCTCACGGTGTGGACTATGTATCAGAAGGATATCTGATGCTATTTATGGTAGAGTCATACAAGACCGTAGGGTGCAGGCCTATATATCTAATGCTAGCGCTATGGTAGATGGGGCCGCGCATGAACACTCCTAGGAGATCGGCTGTCAGATACAAGGGTAATGCCGGCGGCGTATTCGCCGACTTGGAGATACGTCCGGCCAGAGGCGAGTCCGATAGCTGTTCTTTTGGTTGTCGTAAGCCCGCTGGTCTACCGACCCGAATACGGATCCCAGAGCTTCACGTGACAAGGCTACCGGGAATGCTAGGCCTCGCGCTTGCATCGCTGCAGCTGCGTTGAAGTTCTGCATCCACCACGGCACCAGTCATTTCTACCCGTGAGCACAAGGTGTTTATGCCATTATTGCTGCATGCTGCTTGTCGTAGTCCCGGCATCGTAAGGGCGCACTCAATAATTGGCCCCCCAATATCCCTCGCAATAGCACGTAAATTGCGCCCATAACGACGACGACCTTTCTCATCACTCGTTGCTCAATTTACCATCGTCGACATACGTGCCAAGTCGACTATCATCCCCCCACTCCAATGGCCAAAGTGTTCGCGCTGACCCCCAGCCAGCCCCCCCTCGAAACCATTAGTTCACGCGTTTCAAAGACGAAGCGAGCCTTCTCCTCGTCCCAACCCTTTCCCCTTACTCCCCTCCGTGCCATCTCCATTATTTCGCCTCGCTGCCGGAGCCCATATTCCCTTAGTAAACTCTTTCCATTCTTCTTCTACTCTTCTTCTTCCTCTTCCTCTACGTTTTGCATCCTTCCCAACTGCTACACACTCCTTCCAGAACCCTAGTTAATTTTTTGCGTCGCAAGTTTTTGTTTTCAAGATCCCTTTCCCGCGGGTCCCCTGCGCATTTGAATCATCCGCTTGCAGATCCACCTTATCCACCTCATATTCTATCCTCCAAGTTGGGACCATAGCGGACACCCTCTCCTCACACTGAACATTCGACGACGAATACGACCATTCATCAGTCTCGCCGACTACCCAGCTTAATCCCGGAGCCCTTGATCCGCTATACCTTCAAACCTACGAAGGCATTTGTATCCCCGTATCCTCTGTTTCTCATCGTGGATTGAGCTCGCTGGTCGCAAGCTCTTCATTAAAACTTCATTCACCTAACGACTTCACCCGGGCAGTCGCAAAAGATATCTTCAAACTACGTAATGGTTTATTATTTTTATTCAATTTAACACTATTTTGGCCAACAAGCCTACATCGGCATTCGTCCATTCGTCCTTCTACATGCCCCCCCCTCCACGTCTAGTCACTAGGAAACACATCGGCTCTGTGACTATATGAACATACAGAATTATACACATCGGCCACTGGTTATCTAGTCACCAAGTATGAGTGTGATGCTCCAGACGCCGTCGAGGGCGAGCACTGCCTCTTCTTCATCATTTCAGCCAGTCTCGCGCCAGAATACCATGTCGTCGCATGATGGTGGTAAATCTGTTCGCCAATCAAAGCGCTACTCCATGACTACCCTTTATCTTTCTATCTCGGCGAATGAGAAAGATCTGGAAATTGAAGATGACTTGGCCAAAGGTGAGAGCTCTCGGACCTGTGGCCAAAATGCTCCTACTGATGGCTTCCATAGCCCAAAAAATCCTTCGGGACCTCAAGATACGGATCTCATCACAGTCGAAAAAGAATTTTGTCTTGGAGAAAGATGTACGATATCTTGATTCGCGCATTGCATTGCTCATTCAGAATCGGATGGCGCTTGAAGAGGTCTGTCCATCTTACAATCTCTGCCATTTTTGCTGATGCCTGCTTCTAGCAAAATGAGGTTGCGAGTCATCTCGAAGATGCATCTGATCTACAGGAAGGCTTCTTTCCCAATGACGAAAAAACCCAAAAATATGGCAATCTCCTCTTTTTGCTTCAATCAGAGCCTCGACATATCGCACATCTCTGTCGTCTGGTGACTATGGCGGAAATAGATTCCCTGCTACAGACGGTCATGTTTACCATATATGGAAATCAATACGAAAGTCGCGAAGAACATTTGCTCTTGACTATGTTTCAGGTAGGAGTCAAATCATGTTTACACCCACCGAAATTTTTGGTAATCTTTACTCTAGTCTGTACTGACCTTTCAATTCGATAACACGCCCGAATACTCGTCTCTCCTCCGTGCTAATACGCCCGTCTCTCGTATGATGACTACCTATACTCGACGAGGTCCAGGCCAGAGTTACCTTAAAACCGTTCTCGCAGATCGTATTAATGCCTTGATCGAGCTAAAAGAACTTGATTTGGAGATTAATCCTCTCAAGATCTATGAGCGCATGATCGACCAGATAGAACAAGATGATGGAGACCTTCCAGTGTCACTTCCAAAGGGTGTGACGGCAGAGCAAGCTGCAGAAAATACGCAGGTCCAAGAAATCATCACACCGCGCCTGAAAATGTTGATGGAGATTGCCAACAGCTTTCTCACTACCATCATTGATGGACTAGAGGAGACACCCTATGGCATCAGATGGATCTGTAAACAGATTCGAAGCTTGACAAAAAGGAAGTACCCGGACGCCAATGATCAGATTATCTGCACGCTCATCGGTGGTTTTTTCTTTCTTCGGTTCATTAACCCAGCTATTGTCACGCCCAAGTCTTACATGTTAATAGATGGAACGCCCGCAGAGTGCCCACGACGAACTTTGACTCTTATCGCCAAAATGCTCCAGAATCTTGCCAACAAACCATCCTACGCTAAGGAACCCTACATGGCCAAGCTCCAGCCCTTTATCCAGCAAAATAAAGAAAGAGTCAACAAATTCATGCTTGATCTCTGTGAGGTACAAGATTTTTATGAGAGTCTCGAAATGGACAATTATGTCGCCCTCTCCAAAAAAGATCTAGAGCTCTCCATTACCCTCAACGAAGTTTATGCTACCCATGCGCTTCTCGAAAAGCACAGCGCTGAACTAAACAAGGATGAGAATTCCCACTTGGCAGTCATCTTGAACGACCTAGGGGCGGCTCCAGCTCAGCTACCTCGCAAAGAAAACAGAGCTATTAATCTCCCTCTCTATAGTAAGTGGGAGACAGCTATTGACGATTTAACAGCGGCCCTAGACATTACACAAGAGGAGATTTACTTTATGGAGGCTAAGTCCACTTTTGTACAAATTATGCGGTCAATACCCTCCAACAGCGTCGTTACGAAACGGCCCCTACGACTCGAAAGGGTTGCTGATGCGGCGGCTACATCTCGTAGTGACGCCATGATGGTACGAAAAGGTATTCGGGCTATGGAACTCCTGAGCCAGCTGCAAGAGCTCAAGGTTATTGATAAATCTGACCAATTTGGTCTACTCAGGGACGAAATTGAGCAAGAACTTCAACATCTCGGCTCTCTCAAAGACGGTGTTCTCCTCGAGACCAAGAAACTTGAAGAAGTCTTCAAGACAATTCGAGACCATAATACATACCTTGTCGGCCAGCTAGAGACTTATAAAAGCTACCTTCACAACGTGCGAAGTCAAAGCGAGGGCACTAAGAGAAAGCAACAGAAGCAGCAAGTGCTCGGTCCCTACAAGTTCACGCATCAGGCCCTCGAAAAAGAGGGCGTAATCCAGAAGAGTAATGTTCCCGATAATCGGAGGGCCAATATCTACTTCAACTTTACTAGCCCCCTACCAGGCACCTTTGTTATATCCCTCCACTACAAAGGTAAGCTCGCTCCAAGAATATGGAGAGATACGTCTAATCATCTATAGGACGGAACCGGGGGCTGCTCGAGCTTGATCTTAAACTAGACGACCTCTTGGAGATGCAGAAAGACAATCAAGACGAACTAGATCTCGAATACGTACAGTTTAATGTACCAAAAGTTCTAGCGCTCCTAAATAAGCGCTTTTCTCGGAAGAAGGGATGGTAGTCAAGATGACGATAACTCGGATGTGGGAATTCGTAAACTTCCTCGAGAGTAAATGTATGGATAATCGAGCCACACGTACGAGTAGCGCTTGAAAATTCTTCGCGAATGGAGTTTGGTTCCTTGTCGTTCGGCGTACCTGATGATTGGGTTACAGGGAGTAGAAGTATCCATGTTGATATTTTTGGTGGTATCCTCTAATTTGAATGAAGGAGTTGGGACATGTATGGATAGGCTTGCGTGAGACTCTGGTTACTACTCTAGCGGACTATGAGTGATACTATATGAAATAAAAAACGTTCTCCACTTCTGAATGTCACTGCTGAAGAAATGGTGTATGCCGCCTATACTCCACTCCCGGTCAGTCCATCATAGTCACAGACTCATTAGGGACTTGAATCAAATTCTATTCTATTTTCTTCCGGTCCCGATGTGACAACGATAGAGGCAAGGTCATTCATGCCATGGCGGGAGACCAAGAGATTACGTAAACGGTATCGTGCCAGTAAAGCATGAGAAACAGTCAGGCCCTATGATGGGAATTTTCTTTATTATATTCCCGCTCTCTCATCGCCAGCCTTCACCGAATTATATCTTGTGCGTTGAGCCATATAGTAATGACGTTCGATCCATGCCCTAGGTTACTGTTATTTGACTCTTTCGAGCCGAGAGACACTCAAGCCTGTGTCATTCGTGAATACCAATCTGAGATGTGTTCGTTTACACCACACAGTCGACGCGCGTCTATTAGCATCCGTCCAAGTGAAGTTTCCAAATGTCTGATTATACAAGCATATCATCATCGTGTCCGCGCGTAAGGCAGTCGGCCCTTGTTTGTTCTATATTTCGCTACAATCGGTTCTTGCTGACGGGAGTGACGGGATGCATCACGGGCCCGGGTAGCATGAGCTCGGGTGGTGGGGCTCAGCAGTTTAGACCGGACTCCGATATTCCGCAGTCTGCAGCTTGGACCATGTCGCCGTTTCTGGCCAAATTGAATAGCCGTCCGGCGCGGAATCCCTACTAACGTTGGATACGACACGCTGCATGTTTGTTTCTTCAAAAACGTACAGGGTAAATGACGGCCATGGCTCTCCAAGTGGAGCTTGGGCGCGAGTGGGGCCACGTCAGATCAGCTTAGCTACCGTGTTGGACCAAGTAAGCCTCGTCCCACCCGAGTGGTGGGGACCGTGTCGCGGCACATCCATGGGTTAGATCAGGACGAGTCCAGCAGGCCGGAGAGAAGGGGAAACGGTGCCACAAGAGCCTGCCCTCTCCAAAATGCGTCTTGCTCGCGACACTTACGAGTCTTGGTTTAAATGTATGACTCACTTACGCGCGAGACTAATTCGCTACCTTGTCCTGGCCACTCGTGCCATTCCCCGATCGGCCACGGCGGAAATTGCGCTTTCCTCAAGTCCCGCGTCGAATAGATGCAAGCCGTTCGATCCTAGCAAGGTTGCTAACGACGACATCCTCTGCTCTTGAGTCTCCACATGTCCACTGCCGCAGTGCGCCAAACGAGGCTGTCTACCGGTCTTCGTCTGCCGTAGTCGTGTTGCATTTTCGTCGATGTAGTGTGGAGTTGTCCACGCTATAGCGTGAAAGCTCTAGGCTCGGTCGGTGTGGCAGTCAAACGAGCATCCATTGCATTCGGCAGCACTGGTTCGGCAGGCTCTTAATGACACAAGCCTAGATCGAAGCCAGCATACCTTTGCGGTCGGGCCGAGTCCCACTAGTGACTGAGCTACCCCAAATTCGGGCTCTGGCTTCGGCTAGGATCATGGGCCCTTGCACGGATGTCGTCTTGTCGGTTGGCTCGAGCTCTCTCGCCTTCTGCTGGACCGGCGTCCGCCGTGATGATGCCACAGTATTTTCTAACCATAGCGCCTGGAATGCCGCTAAACTTAAGAGGTGAAAATGGCTGTACGGCCCTCGTCAAGCTGGCCAGTCGCGCTTGCTTCGAAGGCTACTATGGACTTTGGCGCCTTTGAACTTCCCAGCACCGCTATAATGCATGGTCATGCTCATGTAACTGCTTTAAGCCATCGAAGGTTTGGACATTCCATCTGCCGAAACTGTAGACCCGTCACTATGAGTGCTAACACATTGCCAATTTTGCTCATGACCAGCATCCAGAAGCTTAAACGGTACCGCTAGAGCTTCTGAGCAAGGCTGCGTTTAAGTGGGTGCAGGAGGATACATGAATAATGGTGGCTCAGTCACCGACAGGAGTCCAGACTTCCTTTGGATCAAGAGAAGCGTATTTAGCAATGTCCGAGCCAGTTTGGACGTGGCATGGTACTGAAAGTAACGCGCAGTGAAATGTACGCGACATCTCCGTTACGAAAGAAGTTGACCGGATGAGTCTCTTCAAATTACTGCTAAAAGTGGGGGAGCAGTGTGCTATAAATACAAGTCTAAGCCACAGTCTATGCGATTATGGCGCCATCAGGGCATAGAAATACCCAAACTACTTGCGCCATCGCTACACAGCCACTTCTATTTTCCCAAGTTGCCTGAAACTCTACACTGTGAAAGTTTCTAAATGCGTTACGACGCGCAAGATCATGTCTGAACCCTAAAAATAATAGAGGCTTCAAAGTTCATGACAACCTGTGTCTCCATCTTCCGCAGCTAGTCATCCGAGATGACGACACACACCTTCAAGAATTTCGACAGCCCACTATAAAGTGGTTGGTTAACATCTGATTTATGATTGCGAGCTGTAGTCAAAATATGGGCTCTCCATCAATGCCGTCGTCAGTATATCGCACCATGTCTAAAAGAATAACCGTATTTCAGGGTTTGAAGCATAGTCGATAGCTTTACATGCTCAACTTTATGAGATTCGAACAGATCTGCAGTCCGCGATATACTTGGCATAGCAACTATGCAGGGAGCTGTAGTTAAAAAGGTTAGTCCCTAGCTTTTGATACATTTTTCTAAAATGCTAAGGCGCCGCACCAGCTGTATTCGTTTACCAGACGATTTAGTTGCTCGGCTTTCAATGGACAGTCCCGGATCTAGATAGACTCCGAGCTGTAGAACTTCGCTGGATACTTAAACTTCCCGAGTTCCTGGTGATATAGCCGAAAGCTTACGTCGTCTAGCTCTCGACCAATAAGTTACATTAATTTGGCCTCAGCTTAATCGAACAATACGACGGCCTCGACGGCTCATCTGAGGAACGCATAAACTTCTCATTGAACGGCTGTCGTCGCTTCGTCAGATATTGAGCTTATGCTTATTATCGTCATGTCTATAGTATCAAGCCTCCATCTTATTGCAGATCTTGTCCACTTACTCACCCTCATTCTCTAGATCTAGCGTTCGTATGGTGCTTCGTCAAAGGTTCCTTGAAAATCGAGTGTTATGAGCAAGACTCTCTTGTTATTTCTCTTGCGCGCTCAAAATCGTGAGTCACATCTGTAGCCTGGTTATTCGTTGATCTATCTCGAGGGAACCCAAAAATTTACTGTGACTTCGCTTCTTTTAATAGCGCATTGTGTGCTATGATTCTCGATTCCTTGCCAAGACTGGATGACAGCGCAACGGGTCGCCGTGCTTTGGCCACGCTGAGATAGCAAGGATTAAGTGGCAGAAAGACTTCTGCCGAATCATACATCATTGCAAAGCGCGTTGGGTTCAGTATGCCCTCGTATAGTGCACTTACTGTATGACTATGAATAGCAATGTAGTTCTGGGAGGCTTCCAGTGCCTAAGTCGATTCCAGGGTCTATTCCCTAGAGTCGATGTTAACTAGGGCGGCATGGTTGGGAATCAGATTGAAGTTTAAATAATGAATCAGAATACGTGCTGGTGATTGGGCTCACTCCAGATGAGACAATGTCAAATGATGTCGAAAACTTGATGAAAAACTATGATAACAGCTAAAAATCTTTATGTGTAATCTGGCTAATTATGTGTATATTGAATACTGACAAGACTTCTCGAGTTAGGGCGACGTAGAATCTATAGGCTCCTTTGTTTATCCAGGGATATTTGAACTTGTTTTAAAATTCATTATTTGGGGCAGGTGTAGATATTGTGGAAATGTCATCAAGATTAGTGAGAAATGTAAAATTTACGGAATCATAGGATCGCTAATACGTTTAGGATACAATATCGACCACTAAAACTAAAATTAATCGGCACACAAGCGCTTGACTGATAAAATTGTTTGGTCACTACGAGGGTCGAACTCGCGACCTTGGCGTTATTAGCACCACGCTCTAACCAACTGAGCTAAGCGACCGTTCTCTTTACAGTACTACCATCACTACAAATATAAAGTTTATAATGCTGTTCACCGTGGGCTTTCCACTTGCATAACATATTATTATTTTTCGCATAAGCATATGATACTGACGATTTGTCCTGGGCCGCAGTGATTGTAGAGGCACTGCAAAAAATTGTCCAATTGAAAGTTTAGAGTTCTACAGATACCAAACACGACTTTAAATGCCATCTCCAGAGTACAAACTATACTAAAATTACCGCCATGGCTAGATGATGCGTTGGTACGTTGATACGTTTTCCCAAGTGTTATCCGAAGCAGAATGTAGAAAGCTTGGTCACCTATCCCACATGAGATATGAAATCGCTGGACCGAGGCCAGAAATACTCGCCTAACTTTCCCGCGGTACTGGTGTGCATGGATATCGAAGGCATACATGGATAACCAAAGATTTTGAAATATTCCTTTGGCGGTTACTCACGAAAGTGATCGACTGTTTGTGTAAGCAAAAACATCTCATAGTGATATTTGCAAACGAAATCGGAGCATAGATATTTCAAACTGCAAAAGAGTCATACAAAATGTAAAGAAAGCACTCATCAAGAGTCGTGGCTAGATAGCCGCATATAATTAATTAATTTGGAATAATTTCCCACCCGAACCATCTCAGTAAATCTAGACAACTGCCTCTCAAGGATAGAAAAGATTCGACTTTAAACTGTGTGATTTATTGGATTAGCCTTGCAAATGCAGTAAGGCTAACTCGTAATAAGTTAGAATATCTATCCTCGCCACCCCGCTCTCCATTTTTTTTAAATCATTTTATGTGAATGCCGCTATCTAGCTATCACACATGACCGGTGCTATGTATACATGGTGGATGACACTTTTGATATTGGAGACACACATACTTTAGATTTTATTTGCAGATACAACTGAGGTATGTTCGCTTACACAAACAGTCGATCTCTTCCGTGCGTAACCGCCAAAGGAATATTTCAAAATCTTTAGTTATCTAAGCATGCCTTCGTCATCCATGTGAGGATCCAAGATTGACAGACCTCTAGATTAGTACGAGGCTCTCATAAATTGAAATGCTTATGTAATGTTGTTCACGTTGGAGTCCGGGCGCAAGATAAGGAATACTGTACTTATGTAGACGATACCCTGTATTAATAGAAAACCAAGTTACATCTAGTCTTAAGCTCTACTATACATATTAGTAGTTTGGAGCCACGAGATACCCGTAACCTACGCCATCTTAAAGCTAAGCTTATCTCACTTTTCATACATACTAATCCATCAGGAACCTCACATGTATACCAGCCTCGCGAGAAAAGTGGATGTGTTTTGCCGGATTTGAACCAGCGATTTACTGTCTCGAGTGGGATATGTGTCCAAGCTATCCGGACTCTACTGGGCATATCGGCCAAGACGATGTACCACCGCACCATCCAACCATAGCGGTGTTTATAGTGTCGCCTGCACTCTCGCAACCGAAGACTTGGCACGCACAAAGCTCGATTTGTAAAAACTCCTCGTCAATATCCGAAATTCCACGCCCGTTGAGACTGTATCCTTGCTTCGCATCATCTTGTGAACTTGTGCTGAGTCCCCTCAATTCCATCCCAAAGAACAGTCTCCTACGTTTGTGCGCCACGCTTTGTTTCCTCTGTCGGGTGTAAATATCGGCGTGGGCGTGTATTTGGTGATCAGCTGAGGCCAGAGAAGGTCGAAGAGCGGTGTGGTCATTGGAATAAGGATGTACTTGGTCGTACTTGTAGACTTGATGAGGCTTAAGTATGAGTCGGACTCTTTGGGAGTGAAGATTTGACGTGGTGGAGTAGTTTGAATCATTGCCTCGTGGGCCAACTTGATCGGTATTGCGAAGTTTGACTGAACTTGGCTCTTGGAGAATATTTCATTCCCAGGTTCGTAGAGGACACCGCGTACAGGTGTTCAGTCTTGCCCTCCGCTACAACAAGCTTGTGTTACTGATACCCGCATGAGTATTCAGGCTGTCAGTTTCTTTCCGATCTCTCATGATCCAATCACCGCACTCACAGCAAATATATCCCTGCCCGACCGCAGGGATACAGCGCATTTATACATGGACTGCATAGCCCCACATGGCCTCCATTACAATCAACCGTTAGAACTCAGCCCTACAGAATGGATCAGAGGAGGGCAAGACTGAATATCTGTACGCGGTGTCCTCCACGAACCTGGGGGTGAAATTTTCTCTCAGAGCCAATTTCAGCCAAATTTCGCAATACCTAACAAGTTGACCCACGAGGCAATGATTCAAACTACTCTACCACGTCAAATTTTCACTCCCAACGAGATCGATTCCTACCTAAGCCTCATCAAGTCTACAAGTACGACCTAGTACATCCTCATTCCAATGATCACACCTCTCGTCGAATTTCTCTGGCCTCGGCTGGCCGCCAAATACACGCCCACGCCGATATTTACACCCGACAAAGGAAGCAAAGCGTGGCGCACACATCTGGGAGATAGTTCTTTGGGATGGATGTGAGAAGATTCAGGACATGTTCACAAGATGATGCGAAGGATGGATACCATCTCGACGAGCATGAGATTTTGAAACTTGCCAAGGAGATTTACAGATTGAAGAGAATTGTACGCGCCAATACCTTCGAATACGAGAGTGCAGC